GCACGTAGTCTTCCTATACCACTGGATACGGTACGGCGCACGAGCTCTAGCCACAACCTTCTGACCTCTCCCCCATGCGGCGTGCAGGAGCGCATCACGGACTCTCTCTGGCCAATGCTCCTCAGCTCATTTCTGCAAGTCCGACTGTCGGCAATGCAGTCCCTGCGAATGACGGAGCCCTCACCATATCTTCCCACGTGCCGACCATGCGCTTAGGCTGCAGGGCGCCGAATATAGACGTACCATGTATGCATAGCCAGCACACGGCATGAAACGCATCGATAGCCATGAGGCCACGATAGAGTTTACTTACTCCGCCGAACATGTCCTCCTCGCAGCGTCGGCAAGACTGCTCAAACTCGATATGTCACCTGTGGTGTAAACATGGTCCGTGGAGTTACTTCGGAACTATCCCTCCAAAGCCCTGAGCCCTCGCACCTCGTTCATGGCGGACCATGCCATGGCCCTGCGTCCCGACATGATCGACGTGCCTGTCAAGCTACCCCCCCTGGGACTCAATACTCGCAGAGATCCACAGCGGACCCTCGAGCGTCTCGCAATTGCCCGCCGCCTCGACGCTCAGTGCGACCCTCCGACTGAAGCAGCCATGGACAGGCCCATCGTGGCCCTTGGCACTTCGGGCTAATTTTCACCATGCAGGGCTTCCACGTGCTGACCCTTTTAGCGCTGCCGGGGCCTGCTCGTCTGCGCGCTCCTTTGCATCGCCCGTGTCATCCCTGGATCCTGGCATCGCTTCACGTACTCGCTGCATGAGCCCACGCCATACGCTCCTCAAACGTCACATTTTGTCCGTGTCTGGCTTGCCTGTCATCCAAACTTCGCTACGGTCCGCAAACACGACCAGCTTCCTGACTGGCAAGCGGCCATGGCGACATCAGCACCTTGTCTGCCCATTATTATGCGCTTCCGTAGACCCTTCGCGGTGGGCCCACGGGCGCTTTTCTGCGCGCACTCTCGACGTCAGGTGGGCCGAAGCGTGTTGCGCAGGAACTCGGCCATGCCAACTCGGGTGGGGTGCAATTAACAAGCTAGAGCCTGTGGTAGTGCCTTTCCAGAACAGCCACGCCTCGCACCCAGACGCAGGGCGACATGCTCCTGGGCCGGCCTTCCTGCCACCACCGTTGAGAGTTTATATGGCGTGAAGGGTCTTTACCACCCTAAGCTGATACGAGCCTGTGGGCTACATACACTATGCGGCGTCCAAGCCTCGTACTAACGTACAAGCTAAAGTGAAACGATTTCCCCAGAACCCACGTTGTGTGGCTACCCACCAGGGGCCCAGGATCAGGATGCCAACACTAGCCTAGGGCCGAGCATGGGTCCCGACAGACGCTATCCATGAGACCTGATAGCAGGTTATAGGCTCATGCCAGCCATGTCTTGCTACCATCAGTCCTGTCTCTCTACCATTTTGCTTCGCTCCTTTGGTCGTGCCGTCCCTGACTTTGTTTCTAATATCTGTCTCTGACTGACATCATCCTTCCTTCCGCATCTGCAACACGGCACAGAGCACCCCTCATCCCTCGTCATTATTCCTCCTCCCAAAGCACGGGAGCACCCTTCGCCTGTACAGACATAACTGATATTGCCAAACGCTTGGACCGCATTCGTTTGGGCCACGCTGACATAGCAACGTCGACATCGCATATACTCTCACCGCCTCTCGCGGATCCTCGATGACTTCAATTCTCCACTACCGAGACCCTATCGCCTACAGGAGTGACTTCATGAGTACCTCCAGCTACCACTCGCCTCACATGGACCAGCAGAAGAGGTCGCCGCCTTACGAAGGCCATTCTTCTGGCTCCGAAGCCAGACAGCTCACTCCCGGTGCGAAGAAGCGACCCTCGAGAGCTGGCACACGCAGCGTCACCACCCTCACCGCCGCTCAACTCGAGCGAAAGAGAGCGAATGACCGAGAAGCACAGCGAGCTATCCGCCAAAGAACAAAAGACCACATCGACACTCTTGAACGCCAGGTTCGCGACCTCACTGCGCAACTGGAGAACAACTCCTCCACCAAGATGATGGACCTCATCCGGAGGAACGAGGAGCTCGAGCAAGAGAACGCAGTCCTCCGCGCCCGCCTGTCACACGCCGTATCGGCACTGGGAGTCCCAGAATCAGGAGCAGGTACGTACTATTGATTTCATTCCTGCAAAAGCACTGTCCAATTGTTCGACTCACAAGCTCGTTGGGTTGTCATGGTTGCTTTTTGGTGTCTCGGGCCGCAACCGTTTTGGTGCAGCCGAACCTCTTTTCGCAACATGTCACATCTTTCTTTTGCTTCATTTCCCGCATTCCGGTCTGGCGGCTCGATTGAGCGACGTGCAGTATCTGTAACGTCGGATTCCTCTTCCCGCCGAGGCGAGGCGAGAAGCGCGAGCCTCGTTCTCCACCCAATGTGATATCGATGCATGGAGGCTGACATGACTACAGCAGGCGCACCTTCACCGAGTGATCGGGTTCAGATGCTCAGCCAACCCCGGAGAATGTCTACTGGAACGGCGAGGAGCGCACATTCAGTCCCCGAAATAGCGACGCCCGTGTCTCAACCTGGACACTGGCAGTCGCAGCACACGTACGCACACCACGTCTCCTCACCGCACGTTGATACGCCACCTGCCATGGGTGAAGTCCAAGCGCCACAGCACGAGGGAGTTCGTTGGAGTCCTCACCCCAGCCACCCTCAGCAGCAGCACCACCAAGTTTCCATGCCAGTGCAGGATGCGTCGGTTCATGCGGTTGAGCAGCCCAACATGTCATACCCAAGCCCATATGTCATGGAGAGCAACGCGCGAGCCATGTCTTACCCTCTTGAGAACGCCTCCATGGTCACTTCTCAGCCGATGCCAATGTCCGGTTACGGTACACCGACCTCGCATCCTTCGCCTCACGCCTCGGAGTACCAACGACACATGAGTGTTCCTATGCATCACCAGCCCGTCCAAGGCCAAGGCCCACCTCAGCACCAGCACCAGCAACATCACACATCCGCTCCCTATGGCTCTTACCCTGTTGGTCCCCAGCAAGGCTACCCTCCCCAGGTTAGCCATGGCAGCGAGATGCCCATGATGCACGCACAGCACGGTCAACCACAGATGATGAACGAGCAGGGACAGCACATCATCTACCAGCCGTACCAGTCCAACATGAAGGTTGAGCATTGAGTATGACCACGACTCGTCTGAAAATGTTCGCAAATCCTACGTGGCTGCAGACCGTTGGCAAGGGTACGAGGGAGACGATCCTTCGATCACACAACACCCACATCGAGCAATCTACTAGACGCAACCACGCGCCATGGAACAAATTGCTCCTTCATCGCAATCTTCTCGACGCGGGACAAAATGTCCTTGACACGCGGCACCACGCGGCACAGTCACGATAGGCTGTATTCCTCGGCGATATATCATAATTGTTCCGCAAGGGCCCTTCCGAAAGCAGTAGCACGCGCCGCCGCTCGATGCTGTCGATGACGGCAAGACGCGATCCATCTCGCGGGAATTTGGCAGGGACGACCACGCCGCCTCGATCCTTTGGGTTTTCACACGCTAGAACCAGGCACACGTTCACGGTTCACCGCTATACGACGCGGCACCCGTTTCCAAGAGCGCCCCCGGCGTCGGACAATTTCGCATCACCTCAAGTTTTTTTGGACGTCGTCGTCGCTGCCCCCCACGATCGCATGAAGCGCAATGAAACAGCAACACGGAAGGCCCCACATGCGGATTGTGGGATCGCATCAAGATTGCACTCGCCCGTGGTGCAAAGAGTCCCGCTTGGGACGCTACAGCCTAGTGCGTTCCTGGAGACTAGCTTAGGGCACGATGGACGGTGAAGAGGTGGATACGATGATGATGGGATGGTGGAAGCGGAAGAAGAAGGGAAATGAGCGTATGGAACATTCCGTGGATCCTCCATTTTCTGCGCGCGCGCCTGACCGGGGGCCTCGTTGCGAGATTTCTGAGCCGTCGGCCGCGTTTTGGGCTTCCAAGCTGGCTTCCTTTCGCTTCCACCTCGCCCACGCCCCTTAGTCTGGTTCGCTGGGGGGCTTTCGATGGTGCGATTGCGCAGACCAGCGCGTTCCTGAAGGAGCAATGCAACCGAGATTTCCCGACATCCGAGCATCCGTTCGAACTGGCCCATGCCCTGGATCCATCCCATCCCCCATCCACCACACCCACACGACATCGGCCACCCGTCATGGTATTTGTCTTTTGTAAACTTACGAAAGGGAAACATGCATGGAAGCTAGCCCCACATGCGCCAGAAAGTCTGCTAAAATTTCCTCGTGCGGATAGGGCCCACCGACGCTGAAACATGGTATGCCAAATACACTTTACGAGCCAGCTACGAGCTACACTACGCTACACACCGGACGCTGGTTACGCATGCAGCCTCGGGTGGTTTGGCAGGGCAGAAAAAGGTCTACAACAGCGGTTCCGCCGGCCCTTTTTGCCTCGTCCCTTTATCGGACGTTTTCTTCCGATGGACATAGTAGCGCCGTAACGCCGAAACACGGTGGCCAGCAGAATTTCTCGGGCGTGGCTTTTTCTTCGCTGGGTGCTTGCGGAGCCTTTGTTGCCAAGGCCAGGGTGTGGAGGCTTTGCGTGGCGTCCCGCGGATCCGCTCACATGGGATACATGCGTTCGGGCGCGCTTCCGCCCAATCGCATTGCGCCGTTGGGTGCAGTAGCTCGCCTGCGCTCGCTTGTGTCCTGCATAGGGAAGCGTTGCCGATACACAACCATGTGAAGTGGACATGAGCTCACCGTATTGTCCCTTGATCCTGGATCACGATGGCGGCAGTGCTCTCGTGTGATTGTTTGTCACACCGCATGAACGCTGACGGAACGCTGACGGAACGCTGACGGAACGGAAGCTTCACGTGAACCCGAGGCCGCTGATGCTGCGTGTGTCGGGCATGGTCTGTCTGCTACACTACGACTACAGGCTCTCTCCTGGTTGCCATCGCCTTCATGACGACGCCTGCGCTGCTGCCTGCTGCGCGCGGATGTGCTTCAGCTCGTTGGGGTACCACCGCTCGCCAACGTCGGGATGGCTCTTGATCCTGTTCATCAGCGTTGCCTCGCCGAGGTGTCCCCATCTGCCCTTCACAAACGTAAACTCCACATCGTCCTTGCGCTTCTTCCTCGCCTGGTCCCTCAGCTGTAGTACCTCGTCCGGCACATCCATGGCTTCAAACTGCGCGTCGTAGCTCACGCCCTGGAAGAACGGCACCGAGTACCGCGCCCCTTCTCCCTTGCGCGGACTCAGAACGCGATGTGTAGTTGACGCGCAAACCCCATCTGTCAACGCCTCCATGCCCTGCCCGATCGCCACAACAAGCGTACCAGGTATGGGCTTGCAGTCTATCCACTCGCCCTTTGCGTTCTGCGCCTGCAGGCCGAGCTGATCGGACGCCTGCAGCAGGTAGCTGGTGAGCATACTATCTTTATGCGGACCCACGCCCTGGCGCTTGATCTCCCACTTCTTCCGCTCCATCTCGCTCGCCCCAGCCGGCAGGTCACCCACATCAACCTCGGGATACTTGACAATCTTGAGCTTGTGCTGCTGGTCGCGATCAAAGAACTTCTCAAACGCCTCCGCAGGCAACCCAATCGCCTCTGCGATCAGCGACGTGAAGAGCGTGGAGATGTGCGCCATGCGCCGTATGTAGTCCTCATAGACTGGTCGGAATGACGGGAGATGGTCAGCCGACGGCCATTGGTTCGGTGCGAGCAAGTTGTGGTACAGCGGTGCGTCGGGTGCCGGTAGTGCGTGTGGAGTCGAGAGATCGAGTTGTTCCCTGTGGTCTGGATTGAATGCCGTGGTTTCGTTGTCGAGCTACGAAGAAAGGAGATTCTTGTCAGCATGCATTTTACGACGAGTCGTTTGACGACCAAAAGAAAGAAAGAAAGCAAAAGTTTTGAGTTATACGAGGAAGAGATGGGATGGAAGTAATGGCAGGAGAGAGAGTGTGTGTGCAAGTTAACGGCCGTCGAGTACATATAGTTGGGCGTCGTCTATTTGGGATATACCCGGGTGATTCTGTTATCCGTCTTTTTTTTTTCCTGTTTTGCAGCTGGCGTTGGTATGAGAAGAGAAGAGGGCATTGGAGGTTTATTGTGATACACGCGTTATGGGTTTACGGCCGGTTTCTCTCTTTCTTTCTTCGTTCTTCGGTTCTCTGTATCATAGTTTCTTAGGTATCATTTTTTTCTCTCTCTTTCCGTACACACCCATGCATAGCGTAGCATAGCGATAGCTTGTAATAGACCATCGTCTTATCTGCATAATCATTGTCTCTCTTTCTCACCTTCTCTTTCTCTCTCCCACTTCCTCACCCCAACGACAAAGACACAAAGTACGAACACAAAAGGAAATCACAAACTCACCCTACTCCACCCCAAAAAAACTCCTCTCATTCTTCATCTCAATCTTCTCCTTCTCCCCCCTCGGCAACTCCTCAAAGAACCGCCCACACTCCTTAATCACATCCTGCACTAACCCCTCCGGCAGCCCCGTTTCGCTCAAATACAAAAACCCCACGTTCAACAAGGCATCGCGTAGGTCACGCAGGAACTGCGGTTTGGTGGCTGGGTTCAGAGCGGCGCTGAGTGGCAGGATGGGCAGGGACGTGAAGGTCTGTGGGGGGTCTGGCATGGTGCGGTGTTCTGATGATGGCTGCAGATACGATGGTTGTGTGGGTGCAGCGACAGTGTAGTCGTTTATCGATGAGTGTTGGTGTTGTAGCGGCTCCGTCCCGTTGTCGCTCGCTCGTGTGGTCCCTTCCCGGTGAACTACCCCGCGCCTGCCTCACACCATTCAGCGGGGCAATCACACCACCACCCCGCTGTTCTGACTGGCTGCGACACTCCCCATCGTCGCCTCACTCCTTCCCGTCCATGTTTGACAAGAAGTGATGAGGCGAGTCTAGTACCTCGCCATCCACTTGAACGCCAGGCCCACGGCTGTGAGTTTCAAACCGCCGATGACAAGGACGCTGAGGGCTTCGAAGAGCATGATTGGCGTGTGTAGCTTGGCTTCCCGAGTAGTTCTGGGGTAGGAAGGTGTTCGTATGTAAAGAGAAGTAGATGAGTGTGATTGGCAGAGTAGGTAGTGACTTTCTTTGTTTTCTCTCTCGAACGGTATACTCGAGATGAGTCTGAAAAACAAACCACGATAGAGAGAGATTTGCTTCTCTTATACGCCTCAATCTGCCTAACCACCTTGCGCCCAGTTTCCCGTTCCCGAACAACGGTCCCTTCGTGCCCGCGTGGTCCTTTTTTCTTCGCCTCACATACGGTCTGGAATAAGAAACTTGAACCCGGCGGCGACCACCTGCACCGTTTGTTTTCGAAGCCGTCGCAGTGCGTTGGGCTGCGCGCCGGGAATGACTTGCCTCACACTTACTTGATGGCTTACAACCCAGCTCCACTTCCCCAGCCCGTTCGATCAATCGATTCGATCTGGCCATCGCATCGCCAGCCCGTCGTGGAGATACGCGTCTCCACAGATAGTAGACTTCGGCGCAACGGCGGCGTTGTTGTTGTACTACAGTCACCTAGCTATCCAGCCACGTGCCGGGTCTTTCATCGTCATTTCCAACCTCGCCGTCACGCGAGACACACTCCGCGGCAGCAAATTATGGAAAGTATCGCGTAATGCGCTTGTGGTACTTTGTCCATCTGTTTACTGCGATGCATGCTTGATACTTCGATCGTGAACTGCAGTCGTTGGTCAGGATAGCCATGCACCAGTGACGTAGGTCACATGCGTGATGCGGCGATGGAGACGATCAGCGGTGGAAAAAATGAGGCTGGTATGCAGGTGTAGCGAAGCGGTTAGTGGTCATGTGCTACGTAGGACGACAAACGACGACGACAACGATTACGACTGCGACTACGGGTGAAGTCGCGTGAGCGGATGCTTGTTGGGATGGCGGGCTGGGAGGGTGTAGATACTGATGCAGGTATGTGTTGTTCTTTTTTGATAGCTGTTTGTGTTGTGCATGCGTGTGTGTGGTGATGTGATGTGATGGTATCATAGGCTCCGCGGCTGCAAGTCATCGGTCTACGGGGGACGGGACGGCAGCCACGATGAACGATGTGGTTACGGTAGGGTTTGGGGCGTTGTGTTGGACGTGAAAAGGAAGCAGAGGATGAGAAAGGAATTTTACATTCATCGGTAGGCTTGTAGTTGTGTGTTTCCTTCTTTCTGTAGTGTAGTAATCCGTCCGTTGGACTACCTCGGCCTGTAGGCCGAAAAACAACACTCGGTAGGTATCCTAGTTCCCGTGCACACCTCTACATCTCCTCCTTCCAGCCACACATATGCGATATACGCAACCATCGTCACACATACGAGAAGCAAACAAAAGAACAGTGAAAAAAGTACTCCCGCCGTAACAACGACGTCAACACCACCCACCACAACCCTGAAATCCCACACCCGCCAAGCCCCTACACGCGCTTCTCAACAGCCCACCCCAAACACGCCTCTTCGCGCAACCGCAGATCAGCCAACGGCATTGCATCGGAGAATTCCCATCTCCTCCCTTCCATGCTCCCCCAACGGTATACGTCAATTCTGTAAAGCAGGTAATAAGAGCCAAGCGCGCGCATCATCTTAGGGTAAGCGAGCGGCGGCCGCGAGACAGGGGGCCGTATAAAGCATGAAACATATACCAATCGCGTACCAAGGCATGCTAAGCGCCCTTTAACGGTTCCCAACGGTGCCGAGCCGACGTAAGTGACGATGTCGTGATATGGGGGGAGGGGAGTATAGTGGGTGGTGGTATAGGGAAGGGGAAGGGGAAGGGGAGGGGGTTGTCTGACTTGCAGTTTTGACTTGCAGACTGCAGACTGCACATCACACCCCCCGAGTCGTGAGGCGACACAACCTCAATGAGGTATCACAGGCGGAGACGGAGGCGGCGCGGAGGTGATGTGACGGAACACGGTGAATGGCGTGTGTATAGTCGTCGTGGTAAGGGTATACGCGTAGATCCCGATATACCTACCGTTCCTCAACCGAGGATATACCATACCGGTAGCTTAGCTTAATACACGTACGCCGTAGTACCCTATACCACCAAAAAACGCTGTCTATAACTCCACGGCGCACCCGCGGCGATCGATCGTACGATACGCAGGATTGCTATCCTCGTTGGTTCGGAACGCCCTTATGAGGTGGTGAAGGGGTATACTATAGCACAGCAAGGGGAAGCGAGTTAAGCCTCGCCCGTTTTCATAGCAAAACGCGCCCTGGAGTGTTATAGAGGAACGAGTCGTGGCAGATGTGATGGGGGCATGGAGATGGAACGTTCGAATGACTCTAGAAGTAAGCAGCGCCGAATAAGTGACTTGAGTCGTCATGATCTACAGTACCGAGGTGTCGTGACGATGAGTCGATGACAGGCGACGCTCGGTACCCGGAACGTTGTAATAACCGAAGGAGTAGTAATAATATAGGTGACGAGTCGTGATGGAACGTTCGACTCAGCCGCAGGTCTGAAGCGGGAAGTCGTCCCAGTTCTTAACACGGAAGTCTGAGTCGAAGTAAGGGAAGTTTAAGGTATGGAACTTACTCCACTGATCCACATTGTCGTTACATCGGTATCTTCCGAGCCATCACACTCGTACGAGACATCCGAAGAAAGTACATGACTGCGTTTTGGCTGCAATAGGACAGTTTCAATGCAACAACGGAGTAGGCGACTCGAGTCGAGTTGAACTGCGCCGTAGAGACGCCATACGGGATACGCGGGAACCGAGAAAACCGAGACGAGACTGCGCCGTACGTGGAGCTCGGTAACAACGGGGAAAGTCGACTCCGACTCCTCCGACCTCGCCGTTACAAAGCACGCAAGTACCAAGCCGCCCGTGAAGAGTAATAAGAGTCAGTCGCCGGAGGATTGAGGTGGGCTCTGTAACGAACCATCACCGCCTTTTACGCGAACCATCCGCTTGGAACGTAACGCATGAAAGACACCCTTGGGGGTTAACACCGCTCTTTTTGCTCCTACGTGGCCACATCATAGTAGAGTCTTTGCTGTCGATATGTGACAGTACTCGCCCCGGCCCCCTTCTTCATCGCCATGCTGTCTTCTCCACAGATGCGGCGTTGTGTTGTGTTGTCATATACCCTCGCTTCCACACTCTGAGGAGGGAGACCGCTTTTTTGACTTTCTGAGTTTGCATGGCCACGTTATAGGGATGGGTTTACCGTACTCGCCCCGGCCCCCTTCTTCACCGTCCTACTCCTCTTCCTCTCCTGTCCCTTCTATAGCTGCCCGCGCCGTTGTTATATAGCCCACAGTAACCCACTCTCCTGCGGTTCGAGGATGTCGCGATTTTCGACTCCTACGGGATACATTATAGTGCAGACTTCCTGTCAATATGAGTGTATTCGCCCCGGCCCCCTTCATGCCCCCCTCTCCACAGTAATCGCAGCGTTTTCATGTATCCCAGTCTTCGCTCCGAGGAGCATAGAGAGGTGTCGGAGTAGTTACGTTCCGCGGAGGGTGTGAAAGGGGAGCTTTGACTTTGTCGAGTTTGATAGTTTGTAGAGAAAGGCGCTCGGTTCGAGATGCGGGAAGAAGATGGCCGAGGTGATGGCAAGTTAGATAAAGTTAGACGTGAAAAGACTGGGAGATAATGATATTTCATCAACATCTCTCATTGAAAGTGTATATCGCTAGAACAGCAGACAGCGCACAAACGAACTAGGAAAAGAAAGCCACTCCGACTCTTTACAAGCGATGCCAGTCGCTCCATGTCGTAACCTCATACCTCGTATCTCATAACCCGCTCTACCTCTTCTCTTGAGGATAGTACGCAGGCTGACCCTCAAGCGACTCACCAACACCCTGACGGTAACTAGGCGGCGGACCACCAAACGAAACCTGACCACCAGGTGTAGGAGTGCTAGACTGGTTGGGCGGGGCATTGTTGTTAGACACACCAACATTAGGGTTCAAGTCGCTGGGCGTGATAGTGCCGCCATCGCCACCACCCACCATGACGGTCTGCTCGTTGCCCTTCTTGTCCTTGACCTTGCCGACGACCATGCCCTTGGCTACGGACTTGATGATGGCTTTTCTGCTGACGCCTGTGACGTCGATGTAGACGAGGCCGACGTTCTTGACGCCGCCGGCGAGGTTGGTGGTGATTTGTCCTGCTTCGGCGCCGTACTTGTGGCCGACGGCGGCGCTGGCTGCGGCTCCGCTGCTGGTCAGGAGTTGCTTGCCCGAGTGCGAGATGCCGTCAGCGACTGTGGAGAAGGCGATCAAGCTCTTGTTCAACAATCCTGGCTTGTAGTTGGTGTTGGGCGTGCCATCTGGGTTTACGCTCTTGGCGTGTGTCTTCTTGTGGCCTGCCATTCCTGCTGCAGCATTCTGGGCGTACTTGGTAAGCTGGCCTACAGTCTTGGCTGAGTAGCCAGCGACGCCGGTTGTGAGGGTGTTGATTTTGCGGACGCGCTCGTGGGTGGCAGGCTTGAAGACCATGGGCTTCTCGTTCGGCCTCGTCTTGTTGATGAAGTTCTCGGCGCCGGATACCATCATGTTACTAAGGTAGCTGGAGCCGGTAACGACAAGGCGAGATGCGGCGGCGGCGTTCTGCACGAGGCCAGAGTCTTTGTATGCGGGATGGCGGGCCATTTCGAGGTAGTCTTCTTCGAGCGGTCGGATGTCGATGCGCTTGCCGTCTGGCGAGACGACAATCTCGACGGGATCTTGACCTGTGTTAGCATGAGTGACCTGCGCGCGCGGAAAAGGTTCAGATGACATACTCTTGGATCCCTGCTGCAATGCTGGGTCGGCGTGGATCATGGCACCCTCGGCCAGCTCACCGACGACGCTGCCATTCTCCTCGTCGACCAAGACGACCTCGCCATTGTTCACAGCGCCTGCGTAGCCCTGGCCTGGCTGGTAGTCCTGGGGGTTGTATGCCTTGATGTCGCCCTTGCCCTTCTCGTGTGAGGGGGCTTGCGCACGCTCGAGGAAGGCTGTGCACTGTGCC